ATGATCAACTCGTCTAGTTGAATATTTTGTTTTGAAATATATGTTTAAAGATTTGCAATCATAAAAAATAGCTTTAACAATAGTAGCCATGTTAGGAAAAAATTGAAGCTTTGGAAGTGAAAGACTCAAAATTTTTAGATTTTGTTTTGCTTCAAGCGAAAGTAAAATAACTTTTACCTCACACATACTTATAGGCCCTCATGAAGTGCTTCCTGTAGGATGATCCTTCCCCAATAAATACCACTTGTGATTTTAGGGTACTCATAATAGGTGATGATGGTGGATGTTGTGATGTTTTCGGTGGTGCTATTGAGGACGAGCTGAAAGCGTTTGCTCTTTTTCCATGAGCCGGGAAATGATAATATTATGACGATAGATGTTTTTTCTCGATGATGATGAATTGCCCCTCATATTTCCTCAGAAAGTATGAACGAATTTTCATTTTCGTTAAACTATTCAATATAGTCATCTTAAATCGAGGAACCTGTTTCAAAATATATTACCGAGGGGCATACGTTGATATCCGTTCTCCCATATCATTATCCAGTCTTTGTGCTTCACCACCCAATTATCATCGTTTTTTACCTCTTCTATCAATGTTATGCATATTGTCGAGATTTATAGGTGCTTCGAGAATATATTGTGTGAAACCATACTGGCGAAACACATGATCAATCAGATGTCACTCAATAATAGCATAATAGATAAGAGGCATAACTGCTAGCCAAACGTCCAATTGCCCACTCAAGTGAGGTGGGATGCAAGCACTCATTTCATCGTTCATATAGGGAAACCATTGAAACTAAAACAAAAATATATATTTCTTATCAAAATTAAAATAAGATTCTAATTATATAAAGATAATTAAATAAAAAATTAAAATATAAAATCATACATCTAAACAAGATTTTTAACTATGAGTAATTGAATGTCTTCTAATTCATCATGATATTACGATGATTTTTTATTGTTGATGACCATTTATTCAATATAAAAATATATTTCATTTTATAGTCAAAAAATATTTATAAATAAATTCAATATTGAAATTACCTTAATAATAAAGAAGACAAAATGACTCATTCACGATCAGACACAAAAAACATGAGATACCATGCCCATGATTGAAGAAGAATGAGACATCCGCCAATACCATTTTTAGTATAACTTGTTACCCGACACATTTCTCTAAACAGATATCCAAAAATTGCAGAGCCCCAATTGAACGTGTCAGTTACTTCAAAATCAATGAGGTGACGCAACCATTTACAATAATCCGTCCTATGATTCGTAATATATATGCTCGGGAAAAATGCTTTTGTCTCATCATCAGAATAATTTTTGTTCAACTATTCAAAAGTGGATTGCAGTCATGATAACGTTATTCGGCCACCATTGAACTCTGACGGGAAATTTCATATATACTCCATGCACAAAGAATGACAATCACCATCAACCAAACCATAAATAACAATTCCATCTACCAAAAGCCCCAAATGAAATGAAACATACTTCAGGGTAATGGTGCACTCCCACACGGAAGATGAAATGTGTGTATCTCTAGTCTCCACCTCTCGATTAGTGCAGAAATGAGAGCGAGTTCAAGTTTACAGCCTCCAACAATTTTCGTTATGTAACAACCTCATATAAAAACCTCTAGATACGATGCAGTATGTGCATTTTATTGTTACAAATAAACACTTCTAATATACAATCATTTTCCTAATTTATAAAAATTTTACAAATTAAAATTTTAAAAAATATTAAATAAAATATTGAAATAAACAAAATATTAAACAATTTAAATTAACATAATTTAATATTCAATTAATCTATTAAAAAATAAAAAAATTATACTTGTAACTATTTTTTCGACGAAGATTCGAACCAACTTGAAAAATAAAGAGAAAGATAAAAAACTAATTTTTGGTGTGATTTAGTTGAGGTGAGGGGAGAGGTTTATATTAGAGAGGAGGAGGGGGTTTAGGCGTGTAATACGAGTGAGAACCAATGACGGGAAGGATGTACAGGAATAGAAGGTGTGCCTTGTGAAACGTGCCTCCCAACTGGTGCTTAAATCTCGTGAAAGTGTGCCCTTATAACACGGTTTCCAACGTTACAACAAATCCCTTGAAAGTGCCTCCTTAAGTAAGCCTTTCGTCAACATCAACATAGTATGTTTCACAAAACGCGTCTCTTTCTTATTTTATAAAAAAATGGTGCTACTTTGATACATATTTAATTTTTTTATTTTTTATATTTAAAATTTAAAATATTTTTATTTAAAAAAAAAATCAAATAAGTTCTTGAACTTTTTTAAAAATCAATTTGGCCATCAAACTCGACAAGAATATCGATTTAGCCCATCTATCACATCATCAGCCATGACACCAACTACCATGGAATGCCACAACATAACTATGGATTGTTACGTCAACACTATAAAATGACAAAAATTTATTCTTTTTCTAAGTTAAGGGTCACATTGAGTGCAAAAAATTCCGATGGAGAAATTTCTTTTTTTTTGAAAAGGTACAGGGGTACAAATACCCTTTTGTCTAAATTTTTTAATTGGTCTTTAGTTCAAATTGAGAAAGATATAGTTTCAGTGACAAAGTTTTGGGAGGTATATAGATGATTAGTAAAGAATAATACGAGAATAGATAAAAAAAAATGCATTCACTAAGGCATATTAAACAACGTGATGAGCAGGACGGACGCATTAAGCTCTGTAGGGAACGTGATGAGCATGACGGATGTATTAAGCTCCGCAGGTAAGCAAGTGTATCTTTATTATTTTAGAAAAATTATAAAAATCAATTTGACTTATTAAGAGAGAAAAAAATTATATACTTAATATTTTTAAAAGATATATATTAAAATTTTGCACCAAATTTTTGAATTTAATGTGATGAGCAATTCAGCACGCCGGAGGCAATCCCCACTTAAGCTCCAGTATGTGATCTACTAATTATAAATTTTAAAACCATGATGGGGATGTTAATAAACGACCGACATTCTCGAACCAAATCAATTGCAATTTTAGTGGTCAACCAGCCAACTGAAAAGGACCCATTCTAGGAGATGGCGGCTGAATCCTAGGTGGAAAGGGACGGCGGCAAAAATAATTGAATGAGCAGCAGACAGGATGTGGGGCAGAACGTGGACGGTGGCGAAAGAACCGTAGTTTCCACATGGATAATGTTTTGGCCGGAGGAAAAAGACAGCAGGCACCAGCGTATGAACAATGAACACGCCGTCTAATCTAAGTATGAAAACGAGGATTCATGTACCAAAGATTGAACTCAGAACAAAAAGCTATTTTTGTCTGGATTAGATGCCGTCAATTATTTTTATCCTTAGAGTGTGTTTGGTTAAGGGAATGTGAGATTCTCATGGAATGAAATCTACATTCTCCCGTTTGGTTGGTCAGGAATGTCATTCCCGATAATCTTACATTATCAATAGTAGATTTTTTGGGGTATATTACCGGGAATGTCATTACCTCCCTTTCTTTAGGTATTATTGGATTATCAACGTTTTGGACTAAAATGACCTTAAAAAAATTCTTAAAAAATATCTTTATTCTTTCATTGAATAATAAAAATTCTACGAATGTTAAATTACAAATTTATCCTTAAACTATTTTATATTTACAAAAAAAGTCTATGATTAAAATTTTATATAAAGATCAGGGGTTAAAATAAAATTTTACCATTTCATTAAACCTTTTTATATTTTCAATTTTATAAAAAAAATTATATAATTTTTATGAATTTAAATTTTTAAAGAAAATATATAAATATTTTCCAACTTGTTAAAAAAACAAATATATAATAAGGACAATTTGGTCAAATATACATTCTAATAATCTTTTATTTACTTAACCAAACTCGGTAATCTTACATTCCTGATAAACCAACCAAACACAAAATACAACTTTCCAAGTAATCCTATTCCCTGATAATCTTTTATTCCTACTGGTAATCTTACATTCCGTGAACCAAACGCACCTTAGAGGGTGCTTGGTTTAGGTAATCTTGGATTACCAGGAGAATGAAATGTCATTCCCCGTTTGGTTGACAAACATTCCCAATCTCCGGTAATCTTTTATTCCCAACAGTGGTATTTTGGGGGTATATTATCGAAAATGTGATTACCCTCTTCCCCTTAAGTTTTGTTGGATTACCGATGTTTTGGATTAAAATACCCTTAATTGTTTTTCAAAAATATTATTCTTCTATCGATGAATAAAAAAAATTTACGAATGTTAAATTACAAATTTATCCTTAAACTATTTTAGATTTACTAAAAAAGTCCATAATTAGAATTTTATATGAAGTTCAGGTGTTAAAATAAAATTTTACCTTTTCATTAAACCTATTTATCTTTTCAATTTTGTAAACAAAATTATATAAATTTTATGAATTTAAATTTTTTAAAGAAAATATATAAATTAATTATAGTAAATTTATAGTATAATTCAACTTGTTAAAAAAACAAATATATAATAAGAACAATTTGATAAAATATACATTCCAATAATCTTTTATTCCTTTAACCAAACATTGTAATCTTACATTCCTGCTAAATGAACCAAACACAAAAAATAACATTCTCAGTAATCTTATTCTCACCGGTAATCCTATTCCAGTCAGTAATATTATTCCCGTCGGTAATCTTACATTCCGTGAACCAAATACACCCTTATTGTAATACTTGTTGTTTTATGGTATCGAATCACATCTAGATATTTAACCTGTTAAATTTGTATTTTAAAAATTAATAAACTGCATGTTTTTATTAAATGTTTATTATATTTTAATACTTAATAAGTATTCAAACTATTTGTTTAATATTTCAATTAGGGTTTATACATTGAAATATTTACATCAAATTATTAAAAAAATTATTTTTCTTGCGGAGCCGCGTGGTCTGAATAAGATGACGCAAGCGGCAGGCTCATTTCTCCGGAATCCACTCACACCATAATCCAAGAGGCAAAGTTTAACACTCTCACGTGTCTCAACCCTGCGCGTGACTTACTCGCAGCCGTCATCTGTTGGTGCTTATAGCCATATAAATAAGGTTCTCTCCTTTACCTTCCGCTCCCTCACTTCGGCTTGCTCGCTTCGCTTTAGAATTGTAGGATTGAGAATATATAATGTTATTGCAATTTGATTCCGAAAACACCCTTTACGCAATGCAGAATTACAACACCAACCGTCCTAACGTACTGACGTTGACACCTGAGCAGGAACATGATATCATGGTCTCCACCTCTTGAACGTAGTCAACGGCTACCAGTCCGCTACGTCAGTGTTTCCTTCTAATAACATCAACGACACGTGTCTTCTATGGGAATCAACGGCTGCGATGAGTATTTCAACACCATTTTCCCGCCAAGCCAACGACAACGACAATCACAACCAGCCAGGGTCCCGACGAGGCATTACAGAGGGGTACGGCGAGAAGGTTATGAAATTTAAACAAGAAGAGCAGAAATCTTGTATGATTCTCGTAACCGATTCCTGCATTCTCCTGCTTGCGGGGACAATTTTATATATAAGAATAACGAATTTATAAAATTTCTGACAATGAAAACAGAATTTTAATAGAAAGTAAATAAAAGAATCTAAAATGTATAGTAAATTTAAATTTTCAGAGGGACAATCGCGTCCACCCTCTTTTGCCTGCTTACTTCCTCAGAATCTCGTATGTCATCTCATGTTTTGATTAATTACGAATTACCAATAAATAAGGTGAATTTTCTCATTATTCTTTTCCATGTAGGCCACCGATAATCTAAAGTCAAAACCCTTTTGAGGAGTCTGTGTTTCATATCATACATTGTTGCAGAATCTTAAGTTTAGGATGACAGATACTATTTTAAGTTTTTAACTTTGTTTTAACCTGTGAACCTAGCTTGTAATAGTTGTTGATACAATTCTGTTGGTTGCTATGAGCTTTGATTAGAGCACTCGCTGCTTTCGGTTGATTAGATTACCAAGGCTGCAATTGCTTGCTTTGCTCTCCTGAACTTTTAGTTTTGTGGTGTTTTAGCTGATCAAGTCCTTCAGCAACGTCGGATTATGAAAATATATGGAATACCATGGTCTCTATGCCAAGTTTTAGTTTCTGTCGATAACATGTTAAAACTCAGCTCTGATATCAGTAGCAAATTTATCATCTGGTTTGCTAGTTCTAATGCCTGGTTTTCACATGTCTCGGATACCCTAATTTTCTAATCTTTAGATCAGTTACTGTTTCAAACATCAAAATATTATGGAAGCTTTGAATGAAGGCAATCCCCTCCATTAATGAACTAATCTAGACACAATGTTTATGTATATTAATTTATTTTTTAGTAGTTCCAATGGTTACAATATAATATATGTTCATAATTTTTTTTAGTTTATTGACAACACACACATCTTACAAACCCGACTAATTGAATCTAAATCCTCTAAAAAATAATATTTTCGTTTATCATTGAAATCAATCAATAAATTTATATATATTTTAAATTATAATATCCTTTAAATTTATTGGAGAAAAAGAGAAAAAAGAAGATCAAGCTCTCCTCAGTGGATCCTTAAGTTTAACCTTCTCTCATTTGTGAACAAGTCCTACCTAAAGGAAAAAGAAAAAAAAATAATCCTAACAAGTATTGAACCCACAACTTAAATAGATAAGAGATTTTAACAAAAACTTTTAATCACCTAACTCTAAGATTATTGACATTTTTATGACATTGTTTCTTCTTTTAATTTATCCTACTTTCAAGTTTTATAAAGATAAAATGTATACAAAAATGACATATAAAACGGTAAAATTTGATATTGTTAAAAATATACAATATCTTAGTGGTTAGAAGGTTGATCTTTGTGAAACGATTTTTATGGCATTGTTTCTTCCTTTAATTTGTCTTATTTTCAAAAAGATAAATCCACTCCAGTGAAATAACATGCGTTTATTAATTTTCACGTTTTCAAAATTGGGTGCACTAACTGAATTGAGCAGTTTATGAATAATTCAATTCGATTTGTTTAAAATTTTGTTAATGATTGATTCAAGTTGAGTTAAACTCGAGTTTCACTTGAGACCTTAACGAGTCGAGTCGACCAATGTCTAATTCGACTCGATAAGTTTACGACTAGCTCTTTAATTTTTAAATAATTTTTAAGATGTTGATTGTCTTACTTTTAGGATAGATTATGTATTGTTAAACATTTTTTTTCAAGAATTATTGTTGTCGTAACCGGTTTTCGCATGGGCACGAAATTTTTACTTGACGGGAAAAATAAAATGAATAAATAAATGATTTTGATTTAAAAAATATTTTGGGAGTCGCCGTTGACCTTTTTGGGTTAGGTAGGTCAAATACCTAAAAACAATCTTTTAAAATAGTTTTAAAGAAAACATAATTTAAAAGATAAAACTGATCTGCGTATAACTAAAAGTAAAAAGGATTCGTGATCGATTACGTTTAGGGAAGGATTAGCACCCCTATAACGCCCAAAATTGGTACTTATTAATTATAAATTGTCTCTATTATTAGAAATTTAAAAATTCAAAGATATATTTAATTTATAATCCTGTTATTTCAAATTTATTACTATAATTTTAAGAAAATCTATTAATTTATATATAAATAAGATAATTATTTATTTAGAAATATCAGAAAAGGGTTTCTATGGGCTTTAAGACAGCTCTTTTCTTAATAATAAAAAATTAAAAAAATATTAATAAAAAAATTTTCTAAAATAATTAAAAATATATATAATTTATAAAAGTAAGATATTTATTTATTTAAAAATATCAGAAAATGGACATCCAGTTGCTTTAAGACTGCCCTTTCTTAATATTGAAAAATAAATATATTTTTAAATATAATTATTTTTCTTTAAAATTAATTTATAAACTTAAATTTATAAATAGGATTTTGATAGAAAACAAAATAAAATATATAAATATTATTTATTATATATATATTTATAATAACAATAACAATAATAATAATAATTAAATATACTAAAAATAAACATATAAAATTAAAACAATAAGGAAAATAAATGAAATTAAAACTATAATATTAACATATAAAAAAATAAAACTAGTAATTAAATGAAAGTAGTGATTAAATTATAACATATAAAACTTAAATTAATCATTTAAAGTTACAGGGATTAAACATGTTATTTTACATATTTATTTACTTGGGGACTAAAATAAAATTATATTAAATTCAAATATTAAATTAAAATAAATTAAAAACATGCTTTCAGGATTAAAATATTAATTAATAAAATTATGAGGGCTAAATCAGTTATTTCCCTAATATATATATATTTTATGTAAAGGACTAAATTATAAATTAAAAAACATAAGAGGCCGAATTAAAAGATTATAAATTTGATTACAGTGACTATAATGTAAAATTACAAAACTAAGGGACTGTAGACATGGTTTGACTTTTAATAAATTACACACATACCCTCCCCAAACGACACCGTTCGAGGAGGGGTATTTAAACCCTTTTAACCGGCCATTTTGGCCGGTTCTCTCATTTTTCCCTTCCCATTCTCTCTCTAAAAGAGAGAAAACAATTTTCTCTCTCGCCTCTCTCTAGGTTTCCCTCACCGGAGGGAAACCAGACACCGACCGGTCGCCTTACTCCTGCAACGGTGGTCGGAATTTGGAAAAATAACCCCGAATTTCTCCTTTTTTTACCCTAGGGTCGAATACGTCCTTGTTTCGTCCTAAAACCCTTTGGATTTCCTTATATCTAAAAGAAACCGTAGGTATTACCTTTGATTATACATCGTTTCAGGCGAGGAGGATAAGTTTCCTTATCTTTTCCTCTTTCGATTTGTTGACTGGGATCGTTTGGTAGCTTTTTTTTTCTTTGTTCTGTTCTCTCTCTTTGGTTGCTCTCTCTGGTTCCTCTCTTGCTCTCGTATTTTTTTCTGTTTGTAGGTAAGTCGAGGCTTTATAGCCTTCACCGGTGTGGCTCTCGGACCGGTCCAAAGGGAGCCCTTCGGTGAGTCACCATAGCTATGATGGTGACTCACCATAGGGCTTCGTCGTGGAGAGGGCATCTGGCTTCTGGAAAGCTAGGCAAGGCTGGCGTCGTGGCAGCAGCAGCAGCATCGGCAGCAACTGGTTGGACCATCTGGAAGTGGAGTGGTATCGGCAATGACTGAAAGCTCTTGGATAAGGCGGCGGTGTTGGGGTCTTCTGGAAGCAGTGACGGTTGGGAGCTAGGGTTTATAAACCCTAACAATAACCCTAAACGGGTTATGTCTTATTGGGCCATCTAGATCTGGATTGGGCCGGTTCTGGTTGTGTAAAACATGCCTGTTATTGGGCTTTGAGATTGAATGTATTTGGGCTTGCTTTGTAATAATTTATAAAATAATAATAATAATTATTATTATTATAATTATGAAATGAAAAAATTAGTGTTTACGATTGTAATATGTTAGTTTGAAATATTTGTGAAAATCGTACCCAAATATTAGATATGAAAACCGCACCTAAATCTATTATTAGAGATATCGCTTAGAAGGTCTAGATCTTCCAATAATTTTTTCTTTGCGTAAAAACTCTTTATATAGATTTAATATTAGTTCAATTTTTTTTGAAACATCTCCCCTTTATTAAAAAAAAACAAAACAAAACAAGCGTCCAAAGCTGCACTAAATGGAAGACATCTCAACATCATTAAAAAAAAATAAAAACTGTGGAAAACAACAAAATTAAAAAAACAAAGAAAACAAAAGGTTGCAGGGTTGGCCTTTCTTCATCTCTACTAAACCACGAGTCAGAAAAACAATGAGCACTCGAGCAAAGAGAAAACAAACTATGAGTATATCCAAAGAACCAAAACGAGCAAACAGGTGAAAGGCGTTAAGGGGGAACCATGCACCTCAAATCTTCAGCCATTTGCACCTCTAGACAACGAGGACCTTCTTCAATCCAAAATTTGTCCAAATCCCCAGGACTATCATCCGTTGCCAGGCAG